AAACGCCACCTTGCCCTTGTGGTCTTACAGTGCTGTGATTCACTGGTAGTATCTGTTCTGAGGTCGTGTCATGTAATATGATCTAGATACGCAGGACGACATGGGCTCCCTCTCCGGGACGCGGATGGGTTGTCAGACAAGCTGCTCCTCTAATAAGGACTGCCATTCTAATGATCACTCAGTCGGCCTAACCCTTGACCCCTACTGTTAAAAGAAACAGAGGGAGGGGCAGCCCGGGATGGTGGGAAGGACACTGGGTTCAAATGTGCAGCATTTACATCAATTAGATGGGCCGAGACGGAGGTAGCCCATCAAAACCCATTAGGGTTGTTGTTGTTGGGGGTGGAGGAGGGAGGGGACAGTGAGGGCCCTATGGAGGCCCAGCAGACACATCACAGGATGAGCCTTGATCATATCCTGTCACATTGATGAGAGCACTGTCAACGCTACAGTCGGTTTGGGACGGTGTGTCTTCTTATGTGTGCACTTCACGCTTCAACGTCTGCTGTAGGAGATTCTGCAAAGCAATAAGAATTAGTATGTCTGGCAGCAGTGACCAGTGTGCACACATGCTAAGACATGTTTGAGGTTCAGTGGAAGCATAGAGTCAGTGCAGACATACAGTAGAGTCGAGGATAAGCTAAAAATAGAGATATTTACGAATATACAGGGAGGAGTGTGAATGGGTAAAAACGGAGACAGTGTCATACAAAGAAGTTTTACTGTTAAAAAGTAACTAAGTAACTTAAGTAACAAAGTAATTTACTCTAATTAAATTTTAATGACTTTTATGACTGTGCACCATCAAATGTTTTCAATCACCTGAAAAAAATTCTGAATCTGAAACTTTTCATCATTTCAGTGTCTCACAGTTATCTGTGAATGTTTAAGCCACCGCAGGTGGGATCATTTTGGAAGAACAGAAATAATCCAACGAGATCCTGAAGTGAATCTTTGATGTCGTCGTTGTGCTCTGTTGCCTCTGTGTTACAACAATAGATACGGCACAGTTCAACCTACCAAAATATCGTAGTTTTTCACTCTACAATTGCTCGTGCAACGTCTGTCTTCCGACTGCTGCCTCATTTAACGTCTGCGGAAATTTCCATGTAGCAGCTTAAAAAAAAAGAAAAACGCCCCGTGTTTCTCTGTTTTGTTGGTAGGAAACGGGGGAGTTTTACTGCTTATCAGATGCAAAATAGCACACCTGCTGTTCCAAAACACCCTCATCGGGTTCAAATTAGTGCTCCCCTGCTTTCTTCTTCGTCTGTTGAATATTCCGCCGCAACAAAAGGATCACAATGTTTTCCGTAACAAGTTGTGAGGCAATCAAAACAAAATGCCTGTTTTAATTTAGGATTCTTCTTTTTTTCTTTTTTTTTTTTGAGTGGTTTTGGCTGCGAACAATCAGACACGATTCTTCTGAAGTCATTGATTATACTGATCAAAAAACTCATCAGTGCGATTAATGGAACACAAAAAAAAGCCCCCCCACCTGGGGGTTTTATTCCATTTCCACTGTGCTGCTGCATCCATGCAGGTAAAAGGTATACAGTCAGGGGAAAATACAGCCCACTAAACAAGGGGAAGGACTTCACAAGGTGGTCGCAGCCCATCTTTTATTAATGTCACTCTGTAAGACAGCAGGTTTTTGTCAGTCAGAATGGATAATGGAGATGTTGGCAGGGCCGCTGAATCCGTGCCTTTAATACTTTAATACATATTTTATGATAATGAAAAGAATGATTATGATAAAAGTAGAGCCCCTCCATACTCAAGCCCCCACCCCTCCAGCCACCCACTGATGTGGCAGCACAGCTGTGCGGCTGCTCGACAGTCAGCTGCAGAGCCTGGATCCATAAGTGCATAAAGTGAATATCTGATGGTGTAGCAGCCTTTTACCTACGCCGCCATCTCCGTGTGACGGAAAATAATATAAGGGAACAGCTTTCACTGTTGAATGTCATGATGAGGAACAGTTTTACATCTTTCATTGTCTGCATTTGCCTTTTAACACCGAGCCCTCTCACCATTCTGACCTGAACATGGCTGTTGTTCAAACTGGGTTAATGTTATGACCGAACGATGGCAGAGGATCAAGGACAAATGCATTTTTACCTTTTCAAATTTGGACTTTTTTCCTCTTGAAGATACTTAAAAAAGAAAAAGTCTCAAAATGTTTTTACTTACGAGATCAAAAATAACAATTTTCTGCTTACGTTTGTTTAAATTTAATATGCGTACAATAGTTAGAAATCAGTTTTTTATTAGAAACTTTATATCACAATTATATTTACCCTTACGTGCTAATATTTATTTTTTATTTCTTAGGTAAAATTCAGTGTTTGAGACTTTTCTTCTAAGTAGGAGATGAAAGTATTTTCTTCATAATCTGTCAATTTTTTTTTCAAAGTTTTTTTTAAAACCATTTGTATTATATTTGCTTATTTGCTTATGTATCAAATGATATAAACACACAAAAAACCTGGCCTGTTCTACAATTTTTTTAAAATGTGTGATAAGATCTCAGTTCCAAAAATCTTGAATTTTTGGGGATTTTGTTGTGTCTCGGGTTTTACACGGTTGTTTTTTTTTTTTAATTCTGGAAGATTTTTTCATGTAATTTAATGTGTAATCTAAAAGTTTTTTCTTTTTTATCCTGACCTATTTGACCTAAAACGTCCAGATTTTTTGTTTTCTTCTCTCAGAATTTCAAAGTCAAAGAAAATTCTTTATTTTCACCCAAAGATTTAAACTTAATATAACAGTTTTCTCCAATAACTTTTTTTATTTCTGTGTTTATATACAGAATTAATGCTTTTGTAATAAATATTATCAGAAAGTTAAATTAAAATATCGACTACCAGCTAAAACTTGTCAAACAGAGAAGTCAGAACTTTTAAAACACTGTTGCACGTGTCTGGAACCCTCTTATCTACCACACTAAAGCTGTTTGTTTTCTTTTAGGAACATCTGCCGCCGAGCCTTACATCAAAGCAGCAAAAATAAAAAATGAAGCAGTGTAATGAGGAAATCTTATTGTGTGATATTAGCTGCATATTCGGGAGGAGGTTCCGTATGGATGACACTGATGGTTGCATGTGTGTGCTGCACCCCACAGCGTGTGTATCAGTAACATCTCAAGAGCATCAAAGCCTGGACTGGTGTATTGTACTGTATGGATAAACAAACTGAGCGGCCCATAAAGCAAGGCCATACCAACCCGCCACAGCTTCAAAAGTTTCCTGCAAGCTGTAGGAAGCAGGTGAAAAAATAGAAGTGCAATGACCTCTGACCTTGGGTGCACACTTGTTGACTGATGTTTCACACTGGGGTCGCCTTGTCCCTCGGCTGCGTTTTTCAAGAGAAGCCTGACTATGTGTGTGTGTGTGTGTGGGTGGGTGTGCATGTGCGTGTGCGTGTTCATGTGCACGTGCGTGAATAGTCCCCAGGGAGATCATCTACATGTCCCTTTGAAGGGTTTGTGCTATGGAGCTGTTTTCATACAGCACCAGCTCTGGGTTTCCTGTCTCCGCTGACCCCACATCTCTTCTCGGACACTTCAGAAAACCTGTTTACCTCAAACACCTTTCTCCCATTAACCAAAAAGGCTACAAGGGTAAAAAGAGGCAGGAGTGGGTTTGAACCTGGAGGTGCCACACTGATGAAGGACAACAAAATGTATATAATCAATTCTGTCTTCACATCTTCACATGCTACAAACAAAACTGGATTTTACTGACAACTCTATATCTGTGAGAACAATTTTGAAATTCTGGTTACGTTTGTAAACTTAAGCCTAACTAAATAATGAATTATGATTAATTTAATTAATATTCATTGAATAATCAATAAAATAATTTAATTATTATGATTACTTGATTAATAACAATTAATCATGCTTTGTTTGAAATACATCAACATCCTTAAATAACAAATAAAAAATCAGTACATTGCTGGAACAAAGAGAACAATAACAGCAGGTAGACTGATTTTTTTTTTATTTGTGACTAAAACTAATGAAGGAATTATTAACATGGAAAAATGTAAAGAAAAAGCTTTAAAAATGTTTAGTCATTATTGTGCATCTTGATGATGGCTTGTAGACCATGATGAAATCTGCTTTCAGAAAATCTTTGGAGCTCTTTTTCTCAACAATAAAAGTCAGTGTTGGAGATTGGGTTGATTCCAAGGGTCACTGACTAATAGGGGCCCCAAAAATATTAGAATATTATTAAAACATATATCATAGTAAATAACATAATATATATTATGTAATATCCTTCCACGGGTTACAGAATTCCGGGCAGCACCCTTGGTCTCCCACAGTCTATTTGAAGCATATGTCAGTTATCTTGTCAGGTGTAGACTTACTTATTTTTTGTGCACAATTGGTCATATCACAATCCAGACTTATGACCTGAAACTGAAGCTTCCACAAAGCATGCTGGGTATAAAGATGGTGTTTTCATTTCGATATGCGTCAGTGAAACTAAAATGTTTTCACAGTGTGTATAAATTACTACATCAACTGTGTACAAAAGAAACAATAGGTCAGTTGACTGTAAAAATATAGAAAATTCAGTGAGCCTTTTTTTTGGGCTATTCATTAACATGTGTTAAAAAATAGATTTGATTAAATTAGAAATGGCTTTTGATCAATGAAATACATACCGAAAAAGTATATTTTTTGCTATGTGTCTAAAGGCAGATGAGTGCATTTTTGTACATCTGTGAGAAACCTTTATTTTTTCAGGAATTTATTAGTATAGTATTTTACTAAAAATTAATTATGAAAAGCGAATTATTTGTCATTGTAACGCAGCACACACAACGAAATATGACTTCTGCTTTTAACCCATTAGCAAAGTAAGCAAAGTAAGGGCAGTTTGTGCTATGCACCTTCCTGGTAACATAGTAAGCTGTTGGACTCGACCCTGAAGCCTTCCGAACCCAAATCCGCCTCCTTAACCACCAACCTATTTCAAGTTTTTCGGAGAAAACCCATGAGCGTTTACCATGCTCCACCAGCTGCGCGCGCAGCCGCCTTGCGTTTATAGTCACGGCCATGCGGCGCGCGACCGCCCTAAGACTGACCGAGAGCTAGTTGAGTGAGCTGACGAGCCTGGGTATGAAACGTGATGTAAACTTTACAAATTAATGATTAGGTTTCGCGTAGTATATTGATAAATCTCTTGTTTATCAGGGGAGAGTCTTGTGAGTCGTTATGAGAGCAAGAGAGGAGCTACTTCAGCCTTATAAGCCTCTGTTGAACGCAGGTAAGAGCATTACTACATGCTAAAACGCTAGGCCTCGTTGCTAGCTTGTTATGTGAAAATGCTTTTTATTGAGACACTTTTATTAAACCAATCGTAGTTATGGGATGTGTCCTAAAGTTTGAACCCACTGAGATATTTTTACATCATTGTGAACCGTGAGAACGGACATTGAGAAGATGAGAAAATTAGCACAAAGCTAACGCTAATCGCGAGTAGCGTGACTAAGTTCAAGTCCGTATAAAGTATGTGTAGCTGATTAAACTACCATGCCACTACTATATTTAAAGAGGGAGACGGTTGGAATAAGATGTCAGTTTGTCATAAATGTTGTTTTCTGATAAATGAGATACACATTGTCTTTTATTGCTCTGAAGTTGTTTAAATATTTATGTTGGTCAAAAAGAGCGTTTTAATGCTGTTCATTTACAGTCAAAGTGATAACATAGCGATTAAAAGTTAATAACATTTAAAAATGTAAATAGTGCTACATGAAGACAAATACTAAGTTAAAGGTAAAAATATTTATATTGTACTGTAAATGTAGACATACTCATTTGAAGTGATTTAAATACTGTAATTCCTGCATTTGGGTTTATATATGGTAGATGTTTAGAGTGAAAAGTGGAAGTCGAATGATGTCATGCGGTTGAATAGAGAGTAATGGTTGTGTTTCTGCACTCTTTGTGTAGATTATTTTTTTATTGCCAAAATCAGGAATTGATTCAGATTCCGAACTCGTGGAGGTTTGTTGGCGAGCAAGGAAGAATGGGTGCGGAACGGAACAGTGCAAGATGTGGCCTGCCTTGGGATCCACTTTGAAGACACGCCAGAGATAATCCCACTTCACTTGTGACATAGATGAGAAGGTAATAAAAAAATCTAGATACCACAAGTATTTTGGAATGAGGAACTTATTAGTATGGTATTTTAGGAGTAAAATATTTTTAGTGTTTTTTTTAGGTGTTTGAAAATTCTGAAAAATAAGTTTCTCAAAAATGACAAAAAAATACACCCACTTGCCTTAAAATACTTAGCTATTTTTGTGGTTAAAATGCAAAAACAAATATACTTTTTTGGTACACCAAACTTCACAGTAAAATACTATAAAAATAAGTTCCTGAACAAATCTCCGAA